GCGGCGGCTCCAACGCCGCTGTTGGGCGCGGCGGCACCGCCGCCGCCGCCGCCGCTGTGGGTAACTGACGCCGAGTACGTAGCGCCCGTGCAGCTGATGTCCTGGGAGGGTGTTAGCGGGCGTGTGGCGAGATGGCATCCCCGAAGCCTGAGCGTGTGGCGGGGCCGAGTGTACCTCAGCGGGGAGAAAGGACAGACGGAGGCGCTGGAGACGAGGTACTGGAGACCGGCACGAGGGGTGAAAAAGGGATTGATTGATTGATTGGGAGGTAGAGAACGTGCGCCGCGTCCTTCCTCTCCTTGCAGGTCTCTCATTAAACCTCCGGATCTTTTCCAACTCCGCTGCGCCTCATTGGTCGACGAGATTTTCGTCCTTGATATTATTACGTTTTTGCACCTCGCGGCGCCCTTCTTTTGGTGGCCAAAACCCCGTACACACGCTACCTGATGACGGTTGGTCGGTTGGTTGGTTACTTGGTTGTTTGATAGATCTGACTCATTGATTCTTGTTCCATGGTCATGCGACTCTTTCCACCTTCTGGTGCCCCCCCCCTTTCCTTCCCTACTGTCCAAGTCATTACTGGCCAGTAACTTAAGAAGTATTCATGCAGCATCTGTCTAATCCCTGAGTATCCGTCTATATCTGGTATTTGCTTTACTCGTCAGTGGTTTGTCTTACCCCTTCCCCCCCCGGCGCGCAGATCCTACTGGCGAAGCTGGCGGCTGCTGGAGCTCCAACCGGACACGGTGGGTGAGCGGAGGGGGTACGACGGTGCACAGATGTTTGGGCGGAAGGGGGTTGCGGCGGGTGGGCTTGGTGCTGGATTATAGGGGGTTGGGTGGCGGCAAGGAAAGCCACTGGGGGCGGGGTGGCGGCGGGTGGCCGTTCCGCGTTGTGCTCGCCGATGGGCGGTTAGGAATTCCCGAGTGGTTGGTAGTTGGTGGTTGGGTACGTACGTGATTGCACTCGTGGTTTCAATCTCCTAACTCCAATCCATTCCGCAGTCCCCCCCCGTGTTTCCCTCTCGCCTCGTCACTCAGCCCCCTTCGCACGGCACTTTCACTTGCCATCCATTTTTCCAGCCTCCAGCCTCCATCCCGCACATCAAAGCTCCGTTTACTGCATTACTACCACTCCTCCATCTTTGATTCGGCACCCTACCGCTTCCCACATCCTCAGGTGGGTGGTGCGGACAATGCAGTGGCTCTGGTTCCGGAGCATGTGGCCGTACGGCGGGAGGCAGTGGCGGAGAGTCCTGAGGCGCTGGTGATGCGGCTGGGGGATTCGGGGGAAGTGGCGGCGCTGAGGAGGAGCCTGGCCCGCTCCGCGGCGCTGGTCGAGTCCGTAGCAGGTGAGGGGGAGGGAGGGCCGGTAAGGGGGGGCGGAGAGGGCGCGTGAAGGCAAAGAGCGGCCGGCCAGATGGTTGATGGGGTCCTTGGCAGGTGTGGTGGAGCTTAGCGGCTAACTGGACCGTTTACGAGGGGGGAGAGGGAGGCGGGAGGGAAGCGGGAGGGAGGCGGGAGGGAGGCGGGGAGCTGGGAAGGAGGGGGGGGAGAGGGGAAAGACGAACCACACACGATTGAAGCTGCTGCTGCTGCTGGGGGGAGAGAGCGGGTTATAGGGGGGGTAAGCCCCCTGCCCCGGGCGCGGCATAGGAACCAATTTCGCCAGCGACGGCAATGCTTAGGGGAGGGAGCCGGTGCTGGTGTTAGTGAGCAGGTGAGCAGGTGAGGAAGAGGACCCTGGTAAGAGGGATAAAGATAAATAATGGGGATATCATGCAGGAAGCCACGAATCAATTGCCAACTAGAGAAGAGTGGTGGGGGTAGGGGCACGGGGATGATTTGGTTTGACAAGGGCGAAGTGAAGGCTGGTGTGCAGGAAGCGCGAAGTGGACCGTTTACGAGAGTGGAGAGGGGGGAGGGGGGTGTTGGGAAGGAGACCGGCGTGGCGGCGGTTTGGTTGTTGTTGTTGGTGGTGGTGATTCGGCAATTCTTCACGACGGCAGATGGTCCCCACGTATGCCGGTGCCTATAGCTAGCTGGACTGGACTGGGCTGGTTTATCCGCATGTCGGTTGTGTTTCTTGGATCCCCTGTTCGAATCCAACCCTCGACCTTTCTTTGGCTCAAACGAGCTCAGAACACACTAGCCCTCCCCATTTTCTTTACCCTCCCCATCCTTGGGCGTCGGCAGCTGTTACTCCGACTTTGTACGACCATCACATCATTTCCGTACTTCCCCAAATCATATCATCGCAGGGCTCCTCGGGGCAGAAGCGGAAGACGCCGAGTCGGATTCCGTTGCAGGGCAGGACCTGGCCAAGGCCGGCGGCGGCGCTGGTTCCGGAGCGGGTGGCGGCGGACTGGGCATCAACCGCGACCTTTTGGACGAGCTTCTGGCCCACCGGGATGTTTTCGAGTTGACCGGCAGCCTGCCCTCTCTGGAGGTACGACTCAGCGGGAGGCCGCCACGCGCCTGGCGTGCGGTGCGACGGCTGGCGGCGGCGGAGCCGCCGCCGCCGCCAGGAGCGGTTGACATCAATGCCGCGGCGGGGGGCACGGGCGAGGTGTTGGGCAGTATGTATCAGCCATCGGAATCTCATGCTGGTACGGATTTGGAAGGGACGCCGCGCCGGCCTGGCGGGTCGGTATCGTCGCTCAGTGACTTTGCCGGCGGCGCGTCAGCGTCGGCTGCGTCGCCGTCGTTGGCGGCGGCGACTAAGCAGCCGGGTCGGCCTGGCTCTAGCAGCAGCCGCTTTGGCGGCGGCGGCGGCGGCGGCGGGGAAGTTGAGACTGCGTCGGCGGCGCCTCCGCCGCAGCCTCCGCCGCAGCCGCAGCCTGTGAACACCGTGGGGCCGACGTCGTCGCTTCATGGCTCGCGCGTTGGGCCCGGCAGCGAGACAGAGTCAGACGTGGAGTTCGTGGACGCCGCCGAGTACGATAACGATGACGTCGACGGCGGCGGCAGCACGTACGGCGTCGGCGGTGGTGACGAGCACGACGGCGGGGATCATGAGGATCATGATCATCATCAGCGGCTGCAAGACCTAACGCTGGAGCAGGAAGTGCCGCTGCTGGGGGTAGCGCTGACGTCAGCTGCCGTACGTGTGCAGTACAGTGCAGACCGACTGGCGGTATCGCTGCGGATGCATGGCCTTCGAGTTGAGAACGAGTTGATGGGTTCAGCGCTCGGGAAACAATTTGCCGTACTGGCCGTGTCATCATCGTTGTGTACTTCCACGTCTGCGACCGAAACGACTGGCGCCGTCGATGCTGCCGCTGCCAGCGCCGGCGGCGAGGAGAAAGCTGCGACGGAGGGGACCGACGTCGAATCCTCCTCACCACTGGTGCAGTTGAGCTTTACCAGCAACTCATCAAAATCGGACAGATACAAGGTACGGGGATTGGGGACCTCTCCATATTCGCGACGGAGAAGCGGGTGTAGCTCCTTGCCCTTTGCCCTTGCAATGTCCCGCCCTGGTTCCCGTCCCGCACGGTTGCATGTGCTCGTGCACGTTACCGCTCTCACCGCTGCACCGGAGCTCTTGTCGCTGTACCCCTTCATCTCACTTCATCTCGCCTCACCTCATGCGAGCAGGCATCCAGCCCTTCTACTACGCGTCCATCCCACCACCGGGCCCCACTCCCTTTAGGACGCCGGCCGTTCATTTCTGATTTCCCCTTGCATTTATGAATCCCCCGCTCCCCATGCCAGGGCCTGGACACGGAGATCTGTCTCCAGCTGGCTAGCCTGTTCCTCACTTGCCATCGACCCACCGTGGCCGCCCTCATGGGCCTAGGAGCCGACATGGCCTACGCGAATAGTAGGCTGGCGGAAGATAAGAACGCGGACGCAGCGGCAGCGGCGGCGGAGCCGCTGCCGCCAGCGCCTTCGGCGGCGGCGGCTCCGGCAGCGGCCGCCGCTGTTGTGCGTTCGGGTGGCGAGGGCCGGACCCTCATGCGGCTGCGGATCAGCATGGCGAGGTTGCAGCTGGTAATGCCGTACGAGGTGCTACTGCCTGTGCAGTTGCCGACGGCGCCGTCGCCACCGACAATCGCACATGCTGTACAGCAGCCACCGCGGCAGCAGGAGCAGCAGGAGGGGTCAGTCAGGGAGCAGGCCGCAGCGGGGGCCAGGAGCGGACCAGGTCCTCGGCTGCTGGCTGTAGCAGAGATGGATGCCTTCAGGTGTGCGGTCAAAGCCGGCGGGATTTGTGTGTGTGTGTGTGTAAGGGTTGGTTTTAGGGGTTTTTACAGGTTGAATTCCTTTCCAACTCTACCCTTGGCCTTTTGGCAGGACATCCTGTGTTTTGAAGTCAAGATACAATCTCTTTTGCCACACACTCCTTGCCTTCGCCATCCTACTGCCCAGGAATTTAACTCTCTAATTTAACTCCCAACCCGACCAATCGTCCGCGTCTCCTTATCGTCCTTTTGGGGCGGGCCCTCCTCAGCTTCTGTCTGGATGTCCGTCCATCCTCCCTGGAGCTCACCACCTCTTTGGGGAACTTCACGGCACAGTACGGCGCGCTGCCGGCCTCGAGTCCGTACCGTACGATATGTACGATGCGGTCTGGGACGAGTGGCTCATTAATCGAAGTAGCGTTCAGGTACGACGTTACTGCGGATATCACGACGCGCGCGTGTGAGCGCAAGTGTTCGCTCGCGGAGGGGACAAGACAGCGGGATGGGGGAAGGGGGTGAGAGCGGCGAGACTGGAAGGAGAGAAAAGTTTAACTTTTTTCACTTCCGAAAAACTGGAATTGGGGTTTCGGCATTCCAATGTCCCAGTGCCAGCAGCAAGGGGCAAGAGGGAAAAACAACTTGCAAATACGGCGTGGGGGGATGCCTGAGCGATTGAAAATTTTTGAAGAGCAAAGTACGAAATCCAAACGCGCGTAATCCTTAGCACCCTGACACGTGCTAAGACTCTGGCCCCGGGGCCCCCAAATTTCCCACAGGATGCATTCAGCCGCCGAGTCGTACTCGCAACCTCGGGTACCCCCAGGACAGCCGTACTCCTCCCTCAGTGCATCCCTCAGTGCCGTACAAGTCGTATACATGGGTCGTTTCCTCAATGAGCTGCTGTCATACCTGACGGGTGAGGGCCGTACGTACGACGTGTTGGGTCGGTGGCGGCAGGGAGGGGGAGGGGAAGGGGTGGTGGGAAGGGAGGATATGGCTGTGGTCGAATTTGTTGTTGGGGGGGGAGGGAGGGGAAACATCTTTTCGTCTTCGTCTTCATCGCTTACCTGAGAAAGCAACCTAAGAAAGCAACCTACGCATAATATAATGCAAAATGATATAAAATATAACAGCGGCGCGGGGTGCCGTGTTGGGATTGAACTGTTGGTGCTACGCTCCTCGGATATTCCCTCACCCATATACCAAAAATCAAAATACTCTGAATCCTGAATCCTACGCTCCGAAACCAACCCGCGCTAGCCCATGCCCAAAACAAATTTGCTAACCAAGTTCTTGAAACGTATATTGCGGCCCTACAGGCATGCTGGCGATGCAACCAAAGCCACGGCCGCCCATCGTCACCACCACAGCCGGTGGTTCTCCTCATCCAAGCTCCTCCAACCCCACCTCTGCAGCTGCTTCCTCCTCGGCTGCGGTCCCCGCTACTGCGGCTGCGGCTGTGGCTGCTACGTCGGGTAGCGCGGGTGCTACTGCGGATACTGCAGGCACGCCGATGGTGCTACTGCTTGATGTGTCGCTGGCATCGCCCGACATCTCACTGCCGCAAAACAGCAGCAGTGGCCTAGAGCACCGGGTGGGAATCGATCTGGGGACTTTGCGGCTATCCAACTCGGTGGCGTGGCGTCGCGGCGTTGCAGCAGCGGCGGCGGCGTCGAGGGCGGGTGGCGGAGTGACGACGGCTGGGGTGGACATTGCGGCGCCTGGGGCAGAGGGCTGGGAAGTCCTGATGGACGAAATGAAGGTACGGTACGGCAGTACGGCGGTACGATTAACCCTAACGGTACATGAAATGATAGCGGGGCATTCATGGCAGGATATGGATACCGTTGGTGTATAGTTTTGAAGGACTAGTTGCGTTTAGAAATTCGTCTCTATGGCCTGTTTAGTTGCGTTTAGAAATTCGTCTCTGCGCCCTCATGCAGATCCACCTAACAGATATGAGCCTCGTGGTTGGCCATGCCGACGAGGGTGATGGCGGTCAGGCGTACGCCGGCGGCAGCGGCAAGGGCCAAAATATTATCCGTGACGTCGGCTCCGGCGTCACCGTTTCATTGCACCGCCCGCTGGCGATTAAGCCCGTGGGGCCAGCGGCGGCGACGACGGACATTGAGGGCACCGCCGCGGCGGCGGCGGCGGTGCCGCCGCCGATGCCGCCTCTGCACGCCGCCGTGACGCTGCCGCAGCTGTCGGCCGTCGTTAGTGAGACGGAGTATCGGCGGCTACTGGCGGTCCTGAGTGGTAACTTTAGTGAGGTGGCGCAGAACGACCCACGGGTCACGGAGCTCCACCAAATCCTGCAGCGCCTCGGCGGCGCATCATCACCACCGCCGCGACCGCCGCCACCGCCGCCAGCACCTTTGTCACCGCATCCTCCATTGACCGTCCCTAGCCCTGTCAAATCCACCTCAACAGCCGCCGGTGGCGGCGGTGCTGGCGGTGGCGGTGGCGGCAACGGCGTCCTTCGTTCCCCAGTGCTCGATTTCACTCGCAGCATACGATCCGTACTGGCGGCGCTGGGTGACAACTGTACGGTGCAGGCGACGGTCGCGGTCGGCACCGCACGCTTGACGCTGCTGATGTCGGCGGCGGCCGACGGCGGCGGTGCGCTGGCGCCGCTGACGGCGGTGGACCTGCGCGACTTTTGGCTGGGCTACTACGCCACGGCGCGTGGTGGCATGTTCCTAAGCGCGACGCTTCCCACATTCACCATCGAGGATCTGCGGCCCGGGGTGTCCCTGGAGCAACGCTTGGTGCTGTCCACCGCCGCTGCAGCTGTTGCCGCCGCCGATGGCGGCAGCCGCGGCCCCAGTGCGCCATCGCAGCCGCAGACGCTTTCGCATTCGGCACCGTCGCCGTCGCTGCTGGCGTTGGAGTACCGTTCCTCGCCGGGCTCTACGGAGGTGCATGGCGGCAACGGCGCTGGGACGGCGACGGCGTTTCCGGCGGTACAGGCGCTGAAGCTTCGGCTGCAGCGGCCAACGCTGGTGTTGGATTTTGGTTTGCTGCTACGACTAGTCAACTTCGTGACGCCGAGCCCCGTGCTACAGGTGACTACTTGGCGTTGAGACGGCGTCGCGAGAGAAAAAGGGAACTAGGTTGTGTCCGAAACGGGCAATAATGATGATTTGATTAGGTTGTCTGATAGAAATGTGAAACCTGGCCCCTCCTAGCCAACCGTGGCCCCTCCTGCGCCGCCTGGCCAGTATCCGTCTATTCAAGGAGTACCTGTCCATCCCAGGTATCAGCTTCCAACCTCTGTGGTTCGTCTTTCCCTCCCTAGCCAACCCTGCGACATGTGGCAGGCTTTGACGTCCATATTCCGTATGTTCGGCCGTTTTCCTTTTCCCTGCCAGGGCGCTACCCCACGGCCGTACGAGACCCGCGACATCACAGTTCCGCTGCATATGCCGTACAGTGCGTACGGCAATGACCTTTGGCTAAGTCCTGAGGTACGGTTGCTAGCGGACGCGCCCGCCGCCGGTGCCGCGCCGCCGGCCACCGGCTTTCTGCACGTGTACGACGGTGGCGGCGGCCGTCTGGTGCTGCCGCCGGGGCTATCGCCTGTGGAGTCGCTGCCGCTGATAGTGGTGGGCGCGAACAGGGCACTTAAGCTCAAGAACGTACGGATCGTTAACTGCGCGTCCCTGCCTTCCTGCCTCAGCCTTGGTCCTGGAGCGCAGCTGCAAGCCCGGGACGAAGATGGTGTAAAATTCATACTGGCGGATCCAGAGGTAGATCGCCAGTACGGCGCCGTAATGGCAGCGGCGGCGGAGGTCGCCGCGGCCGCGGCGGCGCCGGCAGGCGCTGCCGGCGGCTCCATTGCTGTAACCGCGCCGCCAGCAGATTTGGTGCCGGCGACGGTGCCGCCGCCGCCGCCTGTGTTTGAGATGAGTGTAGATGCGTTGGGTGTGTCCTTACACCTCATAGAGGCACCTTCTCGTGGAATCGGTGCCGTATTGGACGAGAACGGTGGTGACGGACAGCCGTACGGCAGTAGCGGGTACGGCTCCGCGCTGGATTTGACGCTGGGCTTGACCTCCGCAACGGCTACGCCGCCGCGGCCGCCAAGGTTGGGCGCTGACGCCGACGCGACATCGGCACTCGGGGGCGCTATGGCACAGCGACTGCGGCGGCGGCTTGTACTGCAGTTAGATGCTTCCGCCAAAGTCACTATGCAGGGCCAGCGGCAAGAGGCGGCGGCTACCCTGAGGAGCCTCACCATGCGCACCGTCACTATCTTCCCAACCGCCGCTGCCGCAACTGCTACAGCTCCTGTCGCCGCCAGCCCGCCGCCGTCAAAAGTCGGCAGTGTAAGCAACCTGGCCGCCGCTGCTGGCTGTGGGATACGGCCGGCAGCAGCGCCGCCGGAGGCAGCGCCGACAGCGCCCGCCATGACTATCGCGACCTCGTTGTTAGAGCCGACAGACATCGAAATGCGCTACAGCCTCTCCTCCAGCAACCAGGATCTCTCTTTGGACGTCGACGCACTGACCCTGCGCCTATCACCGGCGGCGCTACATCTCCTACTCCAGCTACAGGAGCTGGTGCTACAGCCGCTGGCGGCGCCGCCACCAGACAAGCCGCTTACGCGCTGCGACCGCTTTGAACGGCTGTGGTCGAGCCACTGGGGCGCTCCCCGGACGGCTACTGCCGGCGCTACGGCCCCTGGCGGCGGCGGCGGCGGCGGCGGTGGCGGTGGCGGTGGCGGTGGCAGGGGGCCTCGTGGACTGGAGCTGGGTGTCGGAGGTGTGGATAGCTTGGCTGAGGAGCGGGGTGTGACGGTGTGGCGGCCACAGCCGGCGCATGGCTATGTGGCGCTCGGAGATTTGCTGACGGCAGGTCAGTAGTATTAGTAGTATAACTCCCTTGGACAGGTTCACCTAGGGCTAAAAGGTGGGGGCCCCCAGGTTTGTTGTTTCGGTGTTTGGGGGTTGTATCGTCATGGGGTCGACGGTTTCTTAAAAGTTTGCCGGTGGGTGATCATGTGAAGGCAGCCATCGGCACTGAGGCCCCCTCAGGGCCCCTCAGTCCCCCATCACGGCTCCAGGTATGGGTATGGGTATGGGCTCCCCCGCTTTCCTCACCCCACGACACCAGCCCCACGGGGCCCTTATTTCTCTTTCCTCTGCACATGTCTTAATGCCGGCAACCCCATTGCCATTTCACCTGGGCCCCCTCCTCTCGGCCCCCTCCCCTTCAGGCACACGCATGCCCAGCTGCCAAGTGGCCACCCTAGCCATCAACAGCGGTCTCGTCGCCTTCCCAGTCGCCTTCGAGCCCGTGTGGTTGGGTCCTGAGGCCGAGGATCTGGCATTGTGGCGACCCGTGGGTCCGCCGGGTTACGTGGCGCTGGGCTGTGTGGCGGGGCCGCGTGCCGCGCCACCGCCGCTGGCGGCCGTGGGCTGTGTGGCGGCGCGCGCGGTGGTGGAGGCGCGGCTGGGCGAATGTCTGCTGCTGACGGACCGAGGGAATTTGTGGGCGGTGCAGAATGCGGCGGCGAGCTTTGAAGTATCACCGACGGAGAAGCACTTGCCAGTGGTGCGCTCGCCAGCTGTCCACGATCCCCTTTCGCGCACTTCCTAGTGTGCTCTCCCTGCTGAAGCAGCTGCCGTAACTCGTTCTCCACATCAGATTTTAGCAGTTCCGCTTGCCGCAAGCACCGGTCGAAAACATGCGGCGTTGACATGCTAGTAAAGGCTAGTAGTGGTTAGCTTGTAGTGATAGGTGCCTCGCCATGGCCGCTGCAGGCTTCGTTGGCGCTGATATATTCCGCAGCTGGACTTGTAGAAGCTGCGATGCTGCTGCGCTTCTTCCTTTTCCTCTACTTGTCGTACCTATGCAGGTCCACCTGTACGACCTGCGTATTCCGCTGGGCGTGCCGCCCGCGGCGCTGACGCCGCTGCCGCAGCTGCTGCCGACGGCGGCGGCGGTGGTGCCGCTGGGTCTTGTACGGGAGGCATCCCTGCCGCTGGGCTTGGGAGCGGCCAGCGAGCCGCCGCCGCTGTCGCTTCTCTGTCAACAACGCTACCTGCGCAGTCGCAGGTGATAAAGGTTCAAGGGAAAAGGGCCAAAGTACGTTTGGCAGCGGTATGTGCGCTTCGGCCTGCCTACCACTCCGGGGAAACTCCCGTGCGCAGGGAAAACTCGGAAAAACCCGGGAAAACTCCCGTGCGCAGGGAAAACTCCCCTCATAATTTCCTCTCATCCCAGCTTTTCCCTCCCAACACCAGCCCCACACCGCCTCTAGATTGATTCAAAGATTCGTTGATTAGTTAATTACTTATTTCGTTATTTGATATTTTTGTTGTTTGATTAATTCCTGCTTGTGGTATGGATACTGCATGCTGGTGCTGGGGCTGATATGTGTGTCCGAAAGGAGTACGAATTGGCGCCATACAAGTCATCTTTTAAGGTCTAAACGAGCAGACTGTGTGTTTTAAAACCCCCATCCTCTTCCCCCCGCTCTCCCGCCCTCCTGCACCCTTCCTGTAGCGCCCTCATTCGTCGGGCCCTGAGCCAGGCCTCCCAGCTCCCCTGCGTGGAATTCACCCGTGTGTGGTGGGACAAGAGCCTGCCTGCGCCCTCAGCAAACCGCCTCAGCATTTGGAGACCCAATCCGCCACCGGGGTGAGGGAAGGGTGGAGCGGAAGTAGTGCCGGGGAGAGGATATTATGTGAAGCACCCACACCCACACCCACACCCACATACTGCACACCTATATCTATATGTATACAGTCTTTATAACTTGAACTTCATCCGTCCAACCCACCTTTTCCTCCCCCACACCATTACCACCATCACCGCCGCTGCGTCATCTCACCAGCTACGTGTTCCTAGGCGACTGCGCGGCCACCGGCATCTACGCGCCGCCGCCTTCCGTGGTGGTGCTGAGGGACAGCGACCCCGGGGCGGCACTGAGGGACGGGCGACCGCCTCCTTTGGCTCGGCCCATCAACTTCATCCGGGTGAGGAGGATTTGTATGTATGCGTGTATGCATGTATGTATGTATGTGGGTTAAAAGGGCAATACGGGGGAAAGGGTGAGGGGACATGGGGGGGGGGACATGGGGGGGGGGGGAGGGGGAGGGGAGGGGAAGTATGGGGTTATTGTTCTTGCATCTTGAAAATGTAAAGCTCTTGGCCTTCAATACCTCTTGGCCCGGAGGGTCCCTGACAATCGGAAGCTCAGCTAGACCACGATGGTAGCGTACATGTATTGAGGACTAAAATAAAATAAACCAAAAATTTATCTGGACCGTTAAGAAATTTTAGTTAATATCAAAATTAAAGCGAACATGAAGGCAGGCGGCAACGGCTTTACACCAATTCCTGTCATCACCACCTCCTGGGGTTTCTCTCCCCCATTTCCCTGCCCTTGCCCTGGCAGCAGCTTTACTCGTTTGTGGTTCGTCTTCCCCCTCCTCCCCCTCCATTCCCTCCGCCTTCCCCTCCTGGTCCTCAGGTTTGGGTGGACGAGCACCGAGAGCGGCAGGGCGACCCGGGTGCTCTAGTGCTGTGGCGGCCGGTGCCCCCTGCGGGCTATGTGCCCCTGGGGCTGCTGGCTGGGCTGGGGTCAGCGCGGGTACCTTCCGTACAGATCCCCTTACGGTGGGTGAGAAGAACTGTACACATGTGTACACATATGCCAACAAGAGGGAAGAAGGAGAGGGAAGAGAGAGAGGGAAGAGGGGAAATTAAAGCACTACACAACACAGACCTCGTACCCCATCGACCTGCATGTATGCGTATTTTTGTTATGCACGTGTAGTAGTCGCACTTGTACCGCGCACGTACGCACGCCTCTTGTTCTCCCCCCAAAAGATAAAAAACTTTGCTGGAACTTTTTGGGTTTTTTCCGGACCTCAGCTCCTCGTTCCAAACCATATATTATGGCTTCTCTCGAGCTGAACTCAAACCGCAATTGTAAGCCCTTCATGTGAGCCGCGCGGTGACCACCTCTTCCGTGGGTGACCTTACTTCCTTTTCAAGCCCTTTGTCCGCCTCTCTCCCCCCTCTCCCCATCTTTGCCATCAGCTCTAATCGCCAGTGGTTCTCGTCTTATCCCCCTTTCCCCATTCCTGTTCCCCTGCCCGCTCTCACCCGCGCCGCGTTCCCCCCTCCGCCCGCCCCTCCGTAGCTGTGTCCGAGCCGACCTGGTGACCTCGGAGACCCTGTCCCGCTCCGCACCAGACTGGCACCTGCCGGCCTTCCGACACAGAACCCCCCTCAGCGGCTGGCTGACGGACCGCCGTACAGGGACCTTCACAGTTATGGCGGGGCCGGGGGCGGCCCCTGGGGATTCCTCTGTCGGTGGAGGTGGAGGAGGTGGTGGTTTCAGTGAGGGTTTTGGCGGTGGCACCGGATCTCCAGCAGGGAAGAGCTTTGGTCAGGGGCAGCAGGGTCAGGGAGGAGGTGCTACGTTTGACGCGTACCGGATGAAGCTGGACGCGGATGACCCGTGGGTCGCTTCGCCAGGAGCTGGTGGTGGTAATGGTGGTGGCGCTGGAGGTGGTGGTGGTGGCGCTGGAGGTGGTGATGGTACTGGCACTGCTGGTGCCGGTGGAGGAGGCACAGCTGTTCAGTTCAGGTAACAGGAAATGGGAAGGCGGATGGGGAGGTGGGAATGGATGTGATAGGAGATGTGCGATGGCGGGGGTGGTTTCTCATAAGGGCATAACTATAGCAAGACTTTTTTTTAAAAAAGAGTCCTTGACCTGTGCACGTATGCATGAGAGGAGCATCTTAAACGAATTTTTTGTGTTAAAACGTTAGTGCTGTACACTGATATTTCCTGACCTGTTTTCCCTCCTTTTGTTCCAACCTTTTGTCCAATCCTACCCTTCGTACGGAAGGCGCACCGGTGTCCTGGTCCGTCTCAACCGCGCTGTGGTGCTGCTGCGGACCAGTCTGGGAAGACCCCTCCTGGAGCTGGATGTACGGAACACCACGCTGTCGTACCAAACTGAGGTACCGTACAGCAATGCCCCTAGTGTCTGTTTGGTTCAGGGTGTCTTTTAGTCCAGGTCTGGCTAGGACGTTCGTGCGTGGTACAAGAGTGTGAGAGTGAGAGTGAGTGTGTATGTATGTCACCTGGAGTTACCGCGTGACCCTCCAAAGGTGTAACCTGGGGGCCCATACCTGGAGCCGTCATGGCTGGCAAGGTGACGGGAGCCCCAAGGGCATACGTGGTAAGCGTGTCCATTGCTTAGCTGCCTGCTTAGCTGCCATCCAGCTGTCATCATGCTATTAGTGAATCCTGTCGCATAGGTTTCCGCTCCATCTTACCGGTTGTGTTTTATTACGTTCCTCTGTCCCCTGGCAATCGTGCCCTGATCCCCTACGCGCGGCGCTGTACGGCAATGTACGGCACGGCGCAGTTTCCCGATCTCAGTCGTTCGTACGCGTACCTCACCGTCAGCATATGGACCCACTCCCCCTCTTTGGGGGTGTGGGAGCCCCTCCTGGAGCCCTGGGCCGTACTGGCACATTTGGACGACAATCGTACGGCACGGCCTGTGGCGGGCGTCAGTCCGGGGACTACGATACGGATCACGTCCACACAGGTACGGCAGAGTTCGGTATATGTACGGGCGTGTCTGGAAAGGTCCGGAGCATGGACGGTCACGGGTGTGTGCGTGCGCGCTGTTACTTTTGTAGACATTTGACATAAGGACGTTGGTCCTTTTGTTTTAACATACACAGTTTGTGTAATATGCACATTTTGTGTTTGCGCGCGTAACTATTCGTGCGTGCACTTTTCTTTCCCATTATGTATCTCTCACATCATGCCATCCCAGCTTGTGCAATGCGCGTGCACCCAAATACCGTTCCAAGTACTCCCCCAAACGTGCTTCCAACCCCGTTGGGGGTGCCCCGCCAAGTGAGTGGTTCGTCTTACCCGCTCAAGTCGTTAAGTGATGTTGCATGCCCCCGATCCCGTGCTTCTCTACCACGCCCTAACACCCTAACACATATGCCTTTCTTTGTATACGTGGCAGTCTTCCGTACAAGTCGCCCTGGCCGCCACCGCGCTCAAGTCGTTGCTGGAAGCATTGCCTGAGTGGACCGGCCTCACCTCGCCAGAAGGTACGACATTAGACTTGTACGAGGCCGTACAGCTGCACGGACAAAGTCGTGATGCCGTGATGCCATCATTCGCGGGTGGTGTGTGATATCCAAAGGCAAGCTTCCCTCAACTCACCGGCTCCTTGTGGCGGTTTGTCAATCGCAGGGCTGGCAGCAGTACGGCGGCAGCTGGCGTACGGAGAGGCCGCGGCGGGCGGCAGCTTGTACGGCAGTCTGGCGGCTCAGCAGGGCCTTATGACCAACGCATTGGGCTGTCCTGTGTCGCTGCTGACCGACCTAGGGGACCGACAGGTTAGGGGTCGATAGCAGTTGGTCGTTGATAGTTGGGGGGGAGCAAACGGATAGTTAACGAGCTCGTAGAGGAAGGTGATCCGACACCACTCCCGTGGGCAACAAAACCCGCTTCGGTCTGACTTCATGTACTATATCCCATACCCCATACTCCATGTACATATGGTTATCCTTTTATTCCCGTTTATTTTAACTGATGTATTAAATTTGTAAGCTGAGTTTTTACTGTTACCGACCACGGCTTCATCGAAAGGAAAGGTGCTAGGTCGGTGTCGATTTTCCCCACCGCTCGAGAGAAAACCGCTTATTATTCCCAACTTAAGCCCAACCAACCTCATCCCCAAGTCCCGCGCTTCACTATCCGATCATCCTATCTTACCTATAACAGACTCAAACCTGCGTTGCTCAGTAGCCGAATTCCTGTTTTCTCCTTTCCCCCGCTTTCCCCATTTCCTATATCTGCTTCATTCGCCAATGGTTCGTCTTTCCCCCCGTGCCCCATATTTCTTCCCGCGCTTTTCCAGGCGGTTGTGGAGTTGCAGACCGATGCGGAGGATGTGCCGGTGTTGCTACAGCCGCCGCCAACGGCCGCGGCCGCAGCCGCAGCCGACAGCCGCGCCGCTGGGCTGGCGCCGCCGCCGGTGCCTGCCGTACGCATGTTTGTGGATGCGGTGTCAGCGGGGCCGTTACCTGCGGAGCTGCTCCGCGAAGGGGGCCTTATGGTGCGAATAAAGGTACGCTGGCGTACGGCGTTGTGTGTACGGCATGTTCTGCAAGGCTATATCGCATTTGGGGCCGAATAAAGTCCAGGATTTTGCCCCTATCCATCATCAGTCCATCCTACCATCCATCCTGCCTGGTTTCCCTTAAGGATCGTTTTCACCCGGGGGGGTCACTGAATGTAGTTTTACATGCTACACAAACCACGCGCAAAAACCCGAACGTATAAAACCCGTACGCATAAAATCCCTGCGTTTAAAACCCGCATTATTCCGNCGATATGAGACCATAATTCGGCGGGTTC